TTAATATCATACCGATGCTAGGGCGGACTACCACTGCTGGTATTTCGGGGTAACATTCTTTAACAAGAGCTTCGGCCAGTCGCTTCGAGTATGTGTAGGAATTTGGATGTTTTTGCATCAAAGTCGGTGCTAGGACGTTCAGCTTTTCGTTTGTCATCCAGCTCGCAGCACGTAGAACTTCATGAGGATCAGTTGGTGGTGGATGAACCTGAAAAAGCAAAAAAAGTATTTGTATGATAGAATTGTAAGCTTTTAAGCAACGAGTGATAAGTATTAATGAAATAAGTCTTCTAATGACAAGGGTCTGTTTTCACTTTTCTAATTTCGTTGCAAAATGATTATTCCTGTTTGAAAATCGTAAATTCTGTTTTTGTATGACATAGATTGGATTAACTTATAACGTGGTACTCTCACTGAATGGTTAATATTCTCCTTACACTCCTACACGACGGAAGTCAATGTATATTTTGTATCCTGTTTTACAAATTAGAACAAAACATCTTCAAGAATTTAATAAATATAGGAATTTAATAAATATAGAATTTAATAAAGAGACAAGAAATCACAATTATATTTATTTTTGTCTTTGTAAGCAGATTTAAATAAAACAATATAGAAAAACATGGTGCGCATACAAATACGAAATAAAGACTACAGTCTCCAACCGTTCATGAATGATAATGAATATTGGTAAACTATGGGGGAAAGACACTGCAAATATTAACATTTTTGCAAAAAAGCTAGTATAGCTAGTATGAGGTAAGAAAAATATTTAAGTAAACGAGAAGACAGAATTGTAACGTCTCTTAGTCGGAAATCAGATAACAAGTTTAAATAAATATATTCCTTTTGGGTTAATGTCATATAGATAACAATATTATATATTTTGTACTTCCTTTTCGTGTCGAGAAAAGTAATTAAATGACAGTGTAGTAAACTATTAATATCTTTTGCTCGTTTAATAGAACTAAACTAATTTCTACTTACAGCTTTCAGTGGTAACCGAATTATATTTTAACATGAATAATTTTTTTTTTGAGAATTAATCTACATAATACATTACTCGGTACTCCGTTAATTAATTTTCCTTCAAATGACGACAAATATATCTACATACATCCATCTATACTTTTTCTTGTAAACATATTTACCGCTTCAGCCATTCTTTCATAATCCGGGTAACAGAAAGCGGTTGAGAGGTGAATGAAGGCTGCCAGTTTTCTCATGTTCTTCGCTATCTCCAAAACACGAAGAGTTCCTTTTGTATTCATTTCAAGACCTTCCTTTAGGGGTGCCTCTAGACGTAGAGTAGCAGCGAAATGAAAAACTACTGATACCTTTAATATAAACATAACATATAATATATATAAGAAAAGTTCAACGTTTGACTGCAAATATTAGCAACAGAACTTGTAATGAAATAAAAGTACATATATGATATTTTAAAATTGTTACTGATATATATTTTATGATTTGAAGTATTGGAAAACCGTATAATATTTATTACAAAAACAACGAGCAAGTAATTTAATTAACCGCGAATATGACTTAAGGAAAAGATTTATTTCTCACTTAAATCGTTAAGACGGAGCGGGTATACCAAATGGGGAGTGGGTCAGCCGGATGGAAAGGGTAAAGAAACATGTGGCTCGATGTTCTTCAATGGAAAACTGTATGACATATCCTGTAACCAGAGATGTTTCTTTATCTGTGAACACGAACCCGCCATCTTAACGACGGGATACGACCACAGGTTTGGTCGCCCTAATTAGTCGTCATCTATTGGAAGTTTTATTTCTAGATAAGCTCAAAAATACTCAATTTTAGTGAGAGTTTAAAAATATATAAGTGGTACTTGTATGATAAAAAATGTACTTGATATTGAATAATGGATTGATTTTAAACAAAGCAATCTTAAATGATAAAAAAGTATTCATAAAAACCAATAATAAATAGAAGAATACACTAGCAAGAAAATTCAAAGCGGATAATATGAAACGAAAAATCATCATTTAATGTCCATTGAGAATGTAAAGTTCCCAAATAACATATACTTTCAACAATAATTATTTATATTTTCATTATGTAAACAAACTTCACATAAACAAATATTTTTTATTTATTATTATCCAAATTAGTTCGAAATAACACTCATATATTATTATGTAATTTTGTTTTCGGGAGATTGTCTAACTTTTCCTTCAAACAATATATGTAGTTTGCCGCCTATCATACAACTTTCTATGTATGGACCGATTTCGATAATTTTTAAATCCATTGGGAAAGTTGTGAAGTCTGCTCCGTGTAACTTTTTTGCTAAATCTTTGAAGTTGTTTGTGTAAAACCACCATTCTCTCGTTGTAAAATGTGAAAGTCGCTTCTGTATACGGACCATGCTGAAAGAAAAAACGATAGTACATTACATAAAGAACTATTTATTCACCTTACTATAACAACTAAATATAGAACATTTTTTTAAATTATTAGTAGATTGAGGACTGTGAAGTGACAAACTGTATTTTGTTTTAGGAAATAGACATACTAAGCTGTTGAAGTGTAGCTAGTCTGCTGTTGTAGCTTGAGATGGATATGTTAAAATAGCTAATTATAAGGAAGGAATACTCAAATAACTAACAATCTCTGCTGGCCAAAGATAAGCATCAGGAAGTCTATTAGATAAGCGGGAACAATACTATAGAAGAAGAGTATGTATGAGTCAGATGTGGCCTAGTGGTTAAAAGGCCCGCCTCTCATGCGCGGGTTCGATCCTGGCAATGGCAAGTACCAATGCGATTTTTCCGAGTCATATGTACTTTCTGAGAGTATTTAGACATCACTGATCATTGCACTCCCAAAGAGGGTGTATGTCAGGCAGGCGGCCGGTTAAAAAAACAATTACCCAAAACTATTCACAACATGTAAGGCAGACCCTTGCTAAAAGCTGGGAAATTGCCAGGTAGATGAGAAAGACTATGATAGAAGAAGACACAGAGCTCGTGAATCAGCTTGCTGTGTCGTATGTTCCCATCTGGATACCATAATGGCATTTCGAAAGGATATTTTCGGACCGTCGCACTGTTGGAAAATCGCGTATGTTCGTCTCAAAACTCCGTATCTCAGTTATTTCAAAATTGAATGATCTATAATTTTTCACACATATACGTGAAAGTATAAGGCTTAATTATTTTGAAAATTATGTTTATTAATTTATTTAAAAAATAAATATAAAAATATTTAAATATGTTTTGGCACAATATCAGAAAATTCGCAAATATGCCCAACTTTTCTTTTCTCCTTCTGTAAACTAATGTATGTATAAAGATCGTAAGAAAACAAATATCGCGACAGCGGTTAACAGCGGTAAACGGGTAAGTCTCATTAAAAAAAAGAAACCCGAAAATTATACCATCTTGAACTATATTGGTTAATTTTAATTAATTTAATTATTATACATAATATTATTTAGTAAACGTTATAAGGAGATTATAAGCATTTCAAAATTGTATAATATTTATTTTTGTCTTTGTAAGCAGATTTAAATAAAACACTATATAGAAAAACATGGTGCGCATATAAAAATACGAAATAAAGACTACAGTCTCCAACCGTTCATGAATGATAATGAATATTAGTAAATTATGGGGGAAAGACACTGCAAATATGAACTTTTTTGCAAAAAAGCTAGTGTACATATATGAGGTAAGAAAAATATTTAAGTAAACGAGAAGACAGAATTGTAACGTCTCTTAGTCGGAAATCAGATAACAAGTTTAAATAAATATATTCCTTTTGGGTTAATGTTATATAGATAACAATATTATATATTTTGTACTTCCTTTTCGTATCGAGAAAAATAATTAAATGACAGTGTAGTAAATTATTAATATCTTTTGCTCGGTTATTTTTAATAGAACTAAACTAATTTCTACTTACAGCTTTCAGTGGTAACCGAATTATATTTTAACATGAATATTTTTTTTTTTTGAGAATTAATCTACATAATACATTACTCGGTACTCCGTTAATTGATTTTCCTTCAAATGACGACAAATATATCTACATACATCCATCTATACTTTTTCTTGTAAACATATTTACCGCTTCAGCCATTCTTTCATAATCCGGGTAACAGAAAGTTTTCTCATGTTCTTCGCTATCTCCAAAACACGAAGAGTTCCTTTTGTATTCATTTCAAGACCTTCCTTTAGGGGTGCCTCTAGACGTAGAGTAGCAGCGAAATGAAAAACTACTGATACCTTTAATATAAACATAACATATTATATTATATAAGAAAAGTTCAACGTTTGACTGCAAATATTAGCAACAGAACTTGTAATGAAATAAAAGTACATATATGATATTTTAAAATAGTAACTGATATATTTTATGATTTGAAGTATTGGAAATACGTACGATATTAAGTACAAAAACAACTATCAATTAATTTAATTAACCGCGAATATGACTTTAAGAAAAGACACTGCATTAAAATAAATAATAGAAAATATTTGATTTTATTAAACACATGTAAAAGATATTTTATAAATAATTTATCTTTATAATGTGGAAAAAATTTGTATAACGCCTTTATTGTTGCATGTAAGATATCTAAAATCTATATAAACATATCGACGAACTATATTATGTAATATATTTTATTAAATTAAAGAAATAGTATATTTGTATCATTTACTTCTACATATGATACTTATAATAATATTGTAATTCTTTGATTAAATATTAAAAATACCATTTAAATAAAATTAATGTATGATAATAAACTTACACTGTTAATTATAGGTTCAAGGCCTCAAGCGCAATCTGCTTTTTCTCAGAAAACTGAAAGATACATTAAATTCAATATTAAAATTATAGGAAAGTCCTACATTATTATCGATGTTTCGTATTGTTATGATATAAGGACGCGACTCTAACGAAGACGCTACATTCATTCGTGTACCGAGACTAGAGTACACGTATGTTCTATTGAAAAATAAAAAATGTTTGCTAAACTCATAGTTATATTGTTTTACGTACAGTATGTATTATTATTAACGAGTAAGTAATTGCGTTCTGTGTTTATAGAAGTTTTGTAACGTCTCAAAATGCTAGTTAAAATAATGTAGTGTTTAATTTTAAGATTGCCAAGAAGTAGCGAAGTTCTTCCGCAAAGACTACGACTACATTGATAGCACAAAGTCTTTTTACAAAATCCATACGATACATCGAACTTGGGAAGATGCTAAGGAAATGTGTGACTTTGAAGGGAGCACGTTGTTTTATCCATACGATGAAGATGAAGCCAGAGCAGTCATAAATTACTGGAACCAGACGCAACCGTTCTCGTGGATATTTATAGGAGTATCAACACCCAATGCTAGGGAAGTTTTTGAAACTGTAGACGGTAAGCTGACCATTGGTTTTTTTAGGATTTGTAATAAAAAGTCACTTTATAATATGAATAAATATACCAAGAAATGCTTGCGGTGCCATCACAATAAAATAGCAATTTAATAACTCTATGATATTGCCTATATAACAGTTCAAATGTTGAATCGAATGATGTAGTATTTTTTATTAATGAAACCAGTATTTTAGAGGTAACCTTGAAGTGTTCATCTTCATATGTTGGAGGTCAAAGTTAGTAGCAAATATCATGAATATAATTAGATTGGATTGGATTTATTTTCCTTAAAGTATAATTGATCAATTGTTGAATAAGTCATATATTTCACGTCGTGATTGTTATAAGAAATCATACACGCGTAATAGACGGTACTAACAATTATAATTCCATCAAATCGCCATAAATATCAAATACTTAAATTATAGTTTTGAGTATAATATAACTTGTAATTTCCGCTAAATAATTATTTTTCCGTGTATTAATATTATTAGCATTTCTATCATTTATTTCTCAAAATTACATCCTTCTATCCAATTACTAAACGTGTGTCCGTAACTGAAAAATGTGACAAACTTGAATTGCATTTTGTTTATTGTATTGAGAAAAGCTTGGACGGTTGATGTGAGCGTTTAACGCGAGACAGATGGGGGACCCATTAAACCTTCACCTTTTTTTTGATGACGCAAAGAATCTCTTCTTACGAGCCGTCCAACCGGCCTTGGTGAGACCAGAAGGGACGTGTGAGGCTCGGCCTAGGCAGACTCCTACTCACTAAAACCATTGCGAAAGCCATCGGCCGCTATGTCGATATACCCCGGAACTATCAGCAACAGAGCACACCAGTGACTGGACGGTCCTGGCAATGACCGGAGTTAATGTCTCGGAGTATGGGCTCGGAACGTAGGGGTGCTATTGGAAGCGTTGAAATTGCCTCCGTCGCACCCTCGTACGTCCTCTGCGGAGGGAGGGTGCATCACCCGCATCCTCCCTTTACCGTTCAGATGCCTACTTTGAGGACATGACCGTTTCACAGAAGGAGGACACCGCACGCCAGGACCTGTCACTCTCGAGTATCTTCTCCGCGATTTTCGAAACGACTAGTCCCAGGACCGATCCCTGTGGCATTTCGTTGTCGACTGTTCACCACTCTATCGAACCCCTCCGGTTTTCGACTGCCACCCTCCTCCGGGAGAGGTAACTGCCTATCAGCCTCCTCAGATATACTCCGAAAGGGCACTCCAAGGAATTCAAATGCCACCTGATATAGTATTTTCTTAGCACAATAGTTAAATAGTAAAAGTTTGTGTATTTTATAGGAATTTTGATGTTTCAGGTTTATCTATATCTCAAGTATATGACGCTTGGGGCCCGGGGGAACCTAGCGACGCCGGCGGGATCGAAGACTGTGTAGTTCTGAGAAACGACGGAATTCTCATTGATGATCAGTGTACCAGAAAATTGCCATTCATTTGTAAGAAAACGTTAAGTACTTTGGAATGGAACAAGCTCTGTGATTTACCTGATATGGGTAAGTACCTTACATTAAAGCCTATCAAATATTTTTTCATAAGTTCTAACAGCAAATGAAACTTTTTTATTCTTATTATGAGGAAAAAAATGATTACAAAGACTTCATATTATTGGTCTAATTTCGTCACACTTCTTTCGGTCACTTAACTAAAAATAAATTTTATTAGATAATAACGACTTTTGTTACTAATATTCTTTAAAACTATTTTTTTATTTTAGGATACGAATACAATGAACTAGGGAGATGCTATAAATTCCACTTAAACCCTCGATGTTGGCACGACGCCGTTAGGATCTGTGACGCAGAACAATCGTATCTCGCAATAATAAATTCAGATGCAGAAGCAAATGTTTTGGTTAACATCACAAAAAACACTCCAAAGGACGACGTCGAAGACACAAATTACCTGAATGGAGCTGTTCATTTAGGATTTAAATTTAACCACATTTGGAAAACAATCAAACGTAACAAAAATCTTAATTTATAACAAATTCTTTTCATCTGACTCGTTACTTTAAAATCTAGAAGAAACACAAAACAAACCAATTACTTTTTATAACTGATTCTAAATAAAAAAGTACAGTTTGAAAACCTTACCATCTTTTAAACCTAATATGTAACTTGTCCGCAAACTCATTTTCTTTTAGAAAAGAGTTTCAAAACCACTTATTATATATCATCATATTATCAATCTCAATCGAAAATTATAAATCTCTATCTAATATTATAATCACATCACACATCATCACAACTATGTACTATATAATTTAGGAAAATATTAACAAAGATTTACTTCTCAGATGAATCGTTAAGACGGAGCGGGTATACCAAATGGGGAGTGGGTCAGCCGGATGGAAAGGGTAAAGAAACATGTGGCTCAATGTTCTTCAATGGAAAACTGAATGACATATCCTGTGACCAAAGATGTTTCTTTATTTGTGAACACGAACCCCCCACCTTAACGACGGAATACGACTTCAGGTTTGGTCGCCCTAATTAGTCGTCCCCTATTAGAAGTTTTATTACTAGATAAGCTCAAAGTACTCAATTTAGTGATAATTTAAATATATACATGTAAGTGGTTAATTATAAAAAATGTATTTGATATTGAATAATGGATTGATTTTAAACAAAGCAATCTTAAATGATAAAAAAGTATTCATAAAAACATTGCCATATTTGAAAAATAAAAAGTCATTTATATTTATAATATTACTTTATCTGTAGTAAAATAAACATACTCGTAACATGAATAGTTGTTAATATTAAGTGTTTTGAACATTCAAATTAAAGAATGAATTACATGAAATATTTCAATTATTCGTAGTTTTATTTGACAATTGTTTCGTCTACAAAATTTGTGACAATAAACTTTATTGGAAATGTATGAGTAATAACAAAATTTAATGTATCGTAACGAAAATAAAAAAGTCGCTAACCAGTCAACAATCTGGCTGATAACCCTTGTTCTTGCAATCTTCGTTATCACTTATACGTTATGTACTTACACCAATCAGATTTGTAATGGACAACATAGAAACGAATTTTGAGAATAATAACTCCATGAGTGTTTCATTTAATGTGTACCTAATTTAAATTTTAGTAACTATTTATCCATTTTCTTGATACCATAAAAATCTTTATATTGTGTGACGTTAATCATCTCGGAACACCGCCTTTCCGACGAGAGGCAGATACCTCACGAATGGCCCACAGTAACTCAGAATTTCACGAACAGGTTCAAATAATAGAACCAGCCAGTATACCAATAATAAATAGAAGAATACACTAGCAAGAAAATCCAAAACGAATAATCTGAAACAAAAAATCATCATGTAGTATCCATAGAGAATGCAAAATTCCCAAATAATATATACTTTCAATAATAATCATTTATAAATTTGATTATGTAAACAAGCTTTACGTAAACAAAGATTTTTTTTAAATATAACTATGAAAACTTGAAATAACATATAACACTCACATATTATTATGTAGTTTTGCTTTCGGGAGATTTTCTAACTTTTCCTTCAAACAATATAGTTTGCCGCCTATCATACAACTTTCTATGTATGGACCGATTTCGATAATTTTTAAATCCATTGGGAAAGTTGTGAAGTCTGCTCCGTGTAACTTTTTCGCTAAATCTTTGAAGTTGTTTGTGTCGAACCACCATTCTCTCGTTGTAAAATACTGTAGAACTTCAAGTCCGACAGAAATTCGCTTCTGTATTCGAACCATGCTGCAAGAAGAAACGATAGGACATACATATCTTAAAGAATTATTTATTTATCTAACTATAAGAACTAAACATAATATTTTTTTAAAATTATTAGTAAATTGAGGACTGTGAAGTGACAAACTGTATTTTGTTTTAGGAAATAGACAGACTAAGCTGTTGGAGTGTAGCTAGTCTACTGTTGTAGCTTGAGATGGATATGTTAAAATAGCTAATTATAAGGAAGTAATACTCAAATAACTAACAATCTCTGCTGGCCAAAGATAAGCATCAGGAAGTCTATTAGATACGCGGGAACAATATGATAGAAGAAGACACAGAGCTCGTGAATCAGCTTGCTGTGTCGTATGTTCCCATCTGGATACCATAATGGCATTTCGAAAGGATATTTTCTGACCGTCGCCTTTCCCACGTCGAGAACCTCTTTCCATGTATTGTTCCTATCATCACCTGTAGTTAGATTGAACACAGGTATTTCTTGTGACCTGTAATATATTTAGTTAATTTTATTAGAAGTCAATTATTTAAAGATATATAATATTTGTTTAGCTTCAAATGTTAGTGATTAAATAGTCCAGTCATTTAAGCTTAAATTAGGTAAGAATCTCGGAATTCGAGATACCCAGCTGTAAGTCTGTAAATAGTTGTATATTGACACCCTAAAAGTTGTCTCAAAACCTACATATGATAGGGTGTAAGCAACTATTAAATTTCATGGTCAAAGGTCACAAAAATCGGATTGTTGCGCTTTTTTTGGAAATATCTCATTTCCTATGGGTTTTTTGCTATTTGTATTTATTATCAATATTGTAGAATACTAAATTCTCTACAAATTTTGTTTCAAAAATTTTTTTATACGGTGTACCGTTTTCGAGATAGAGGGCGGAGAGCGCGCGGTCACCGCATCACTTCAGGTCAACCGGTACCTCCGGTCGAAAACGCGCCATATATAGTTGATGAACTATCAATAAATCAATGATTATAAATATTTGTCAATTTTTATTAACTATTATATTATATTTTATCATTTTTTTCCTAACTTATCCACTTTTTATTCAGTATTAATTTATTTAACAACACTTACCTGTCCATGTAATTGCAGAATTGTTAATGAGAATATAAGAATTATATTTGAATTTTAACCTAATTAATATTAATAACTTCTTACATGATGAAAAAAAACCAAATAAATTATGAATTAATCTTTTTATTGAAAAATATCATTGAATAAATTATTTTTTATTGAACGTAAAAAAATGGAATAAAGGGTACAAAAACTACAATTTATAATTTTAAACATCTTCCTCTTCATCGTCGTCATCATCTTCCATGATTTCGGGATCAAAGGTTCCATCTTCGTTAATGTCGCTCTGATATGGTTGAGCATTGAGACAAGCTTGCCCATTACATTGGCCACAAGCTAAAGAGCATTGCAAGCCCGCTTTCCTGCATCCGCATCGCGAACCACAACCACTTTTGCAGTTGCAGAAAATTGTATTTAGCAAATTTTCTGGAGCAGGTGGTAAAATTGTCATGATAGGCTTCAGAAAATCATTTCGCATTGCCCAACCCCATACCTGGGGTTCCAAATCATGTCCTCACCAAGTTTGAACTTGATAATATACACGGTTGAAACGTTGATGAGCAGCAGCAGCACTTGTTGGTGGAATATTTGAAAGCTGCACAGGTTTATTAAGTTTTGTAGACTTGACGAAATGCGTATAACGAAGATGATCGAGACTTTTCACAGATTTCGGAGCATTATAGACTGCCAATAAGGTTTGAATAGATATAGATTTAATGCATGAAGAAAATGATAAAATATAATATAATAGTTAACAAAAATTGACAAATATTTATAATCATTGATTTATTGATAGTTCATCAACTATATATGGCGCGTTTTCGACCGGAGGTACCGGTTGACCTGAAGTGATGCGGTGACCGCGCGCTCTCCGCCCTCTATCTCGAAAACGGTACACCGTATAAAAAAATTTTTGAAACAAAATTTGTAGAGAATTTAGTATTCTACAATATTGATAATAAATACAAATAGCAAAAAACCCATAGGAAATGAGATATTTCCAAAAAAAGCGCAACAAACCGTTTTTTGTGACCTTTGACCATGAAATTTAATAGTTGCTTACACCCTACCATATGTAGGTTTTGAGACAACTTTTAGGGTGTCAATATACAACTATTTACAGACTTATAGCTGGGTATCTCGAATTCCGAGGTGAACTTACTATAATGACTGGACTAAAATGTATGGTGATAACGTATGACAAATAAAACTTAATGAAGCCAACTGATAACTAGATTTGTTTTTTTAAATAAATACGGTTTTTGATACTGGTAAATCCTGGTTGAAAAAAAATTATAAATTTATATACCGTTATAATAAAACTAAATTAAATGTAATTAGATGAGACAGAGGTCTTGAGACGTGCGGTTTTATACAATGGTTCTCTAGTCTCTGGATTCAAGGCATGATATATAATAAGTATTAGATATTCTGCACTTTTTCAAAATAAAAACTTAAAGTATAAATAGTATAGTTTCAAAGTAGTAAAGGCACATTAAACTTCGAATACACAGTAAAGCATAACAATATACTCGTACATCTTCTTATACCTTTTGTCTTATCCCAGATAAAAAATGTAATTCAATTGGTTCTTATCATTAGGTTTTGTTAATTGTATAACAGATGTAATAAACACGAGAGTAGGAAAGAAAAATGTCCAGATTAGCGTAAACTAATCTATTCGATCTGACATATGACATACAAGTGAGTTTTGCCTTTATAATTCCTCTCAAAAATTTAAGCTCTCCTCACTTCAACTTGTATTTTTAATCACGGTTAATCTTTAAATGAATTGTAACGTCAAAATAAAGCTCTACCAACTAATTACCTTTCCATTTGGGTGTTGATATAGTAAGGAATAACAATAATTGCGTTGATAGCGATGTCCACTGGTATAACTTCCGCGTGATAGTGTCCGTAGCAATGCATTGATCTGATGACACCCTTTCCAGCTCCTATCATTAATCCTATTGGACCATTCAGGTTGTCTACCCAACCTGGGTTTGGTTCTTTGTACGATGGCGTGACTGTAATGAAAATAACAAATTTTTTAGTTTAGGACATCTCTTGCGAAGTTCATATATGTAAATCCAAAAGAAAAAGCTAGTAGTAAAATTTCCTACAGGTCTACGTTTTTTTCTTGGAGACCCTCTAAAAATGGGACGATTTCTGCTTAAAGAGTACAGTATTGCTACAGTGTTGTAGAAATTGGTACAGTATTGTTAAGCGGGGTCCATTATCAACATATACTGATATTTTGTAGTATTAAAGCATATCAGATATTATTGTTAAACTAATATCATACCAATGCTAGGGCGGACTACCACTGCTGGTATTTCAGGGTAACATTCTTTAACAAGAGCTTCGGCCAGTCGCTTCGAGTATGTGTAGGAATTTGGATGTTTTTGCATCAAAGTCGGTGCTAGGACGTTCAGCTGTTCGTTTGTCATCCAGCTCGCAGCACGTAGAACTTCATGAGGATCAGTTGGTGGTGGATGAACCTGAAAAAGCAAAAAAAAAGTATTTGTATGATAGAATTGTAAGTTTTTAAGCAATGGGCGATAAGTATTAATGAAATAAATCTTCTAGTGACGAGGGTTTGATTTCACTTTTCTATTTTCGTTCTAAAATGATTATTCACGTTTCTGTTTTGTTAATCGTGAATCCTTTTTTTTTGTATGACAAAGATTGGTTAATCTTATAACGAGGTACTCTCACTGAATGTTTAATACTCTCCTTACACTTTATTATTAAACTATTCTTACACGATGGAAGTCAATGTATATTTTGTATCCTGGTTTACAACTTAGAACAAAATTTCTTCAAGAACTTAATAAATATAGACAAAGAATATGAAATTTGTATCACTTCTAATGTTTACCATATAAAAAATTATTTATCACAGTTATATTTATTTTTGTCTTCGCAAGCAGATTTAAATAAAACACTCTATAGAAAAACATGGTGCGCATAAAAAGATACGAAATAGAAACTAAACAAAGATCTATGGATATTAGTAAATTGAGGGAAAAAGTCCCTGTGCAAATATGAAATTTTTGCAAAGAAGTTAGTGAATAAGAGATATGAAAAAATATTGAGATTAACGAGAAGATAGAAACGGAACGTCCCGTAGGCAGAAATCTGTAAACATGTTTAAATATATATGTATATTCCTTTTGTAGTTACGTCTTATAAATATTATATTATATTTAAAAGTTATTATCTTTTAAAAAAATTATTACTATTTTTGGCTGGGTTATTATCATAAAATACTCCATTCAATGGTTTTCTTTGTAGTGATTACAAATACATATATCTATACACATAATACATCCATCCATACTTTTCTTGTAAGCATATTTACCGCTTCAGCCATTCTTTCATAATCCGGGTAACAGAAAGCGGTTGAGAGGTGAATGAAGGCTGCCAGTTTTCTCATTTTCTTCGCTATCTCCAAAACACGAAGAGTTCCTTTTGTATTCATTTCAAGACCTTCCTTTAGGGGTGCCTCTAGACGTAGAGTAGCAGCGAAATGAAACACTACTGATACCTTTAATATAAACATAACATATTATATAGTTCAACGTTTGACTGCAAATATTAGCAACAGAACTTGTAATGAAATAAAAGTATATGATATTTTAAAATGGTTACTGATATATATTTTATGATTTGAAGTAATGGAAATATTTACGATATTAAGTACAAAAACAACTATCAATTAATTTAATTAACCGCGAATATGACTTTAAGAAAAGACACTGCATTAAAATAAATAACAGAAAATATTTGATTTTATTAAACACATGTAAAAGATTTTTTATAAATAATTTATCTTTATAATGTGGAAAACATTTGTATAACGCCGTTATGGTTGCACGTAAGGTATAACCATATCGATGAACTACATATATGTAATATATTTATCATTTACTTCTACATGTAAAACGTCTATATATACTATAAATTTATGTTACAATGTTTAAAACAAAATTAATATATATTTAGTTATACAAGTCAACGAAATTGTCAATGGTGGCTCAGTGGTTAAAGGGCCCGCCTCTCGTCGCCGAGAGCGTGGGTTCGATCCTGGCCCGGGCAAGTACCAATGTGATTTTTCCGAATCATATGTACTTTCTAAGAGTATTTAGACATATCACTGATTAATGTTGACTCCCAAAAGAGGGTTGATGTCAGGCAGGCGGGCCGGTCGTAAAAACTAATAGCCAAAAACGATTAATCACAACATGTATGGCAGACCTTGGCTGAGGCTGGGAAATTGCCAGGTAGAAGATACAAGTCAACGAAAATTATTCTTTCATACGTCCTTAGCTCTAATTAGATAATGAATATGTTTGTCAGATCCTTATTCTGTTGTAACTGTACCACAAGTTGGCGTTATCAAACGAAACATGGACTGTTTTAAGTTTTTAATACTTACAAATCTTCGAATATAATAATATTTATACCTTACATGTATTGGATGGAAACGTAGACGTTATCTAAAATGTTTCCGGCTAATGGTAAACTTACAATATAATTACCTCATTATATATTTCCTCAGTCTGTTTATTATTAATTCCCAAATCATCGTACTGAATATCACCAGATACTGCGATCAGTTTCTTCATAACATGAGGCTTCTCTTCTCTTATCCTTGTAAACAACTAAAATTATATAAAAAATAACCATAAATAGTACAGAATTTATATTTCAAAATGATTAATTATAAGTTTTCTGATGGTTATAAAATATATGTTTAATATTCACAGGCAATTGCCACATTTCCTCGATCCTCTTTTCCGGTGACTTGCCACGTTTACTTCGCACAAGTGCGTACACGCAGCCTATATCCGGTACACTGTATAATAACTTTTCTATCAAAACCTTCCCCATGAGACCTAAAGCCCCCGTCACGAACACCTTTCTTCCTTTGTACCATTCGTTTACTTCGGACGCCATTTTGAAATCTGGAAAAAAAAACCCCATTTAGAGAAATATATTATTTAATACTCACTTTTTTATTTGAAACAAAATCCAATTTATCCATAATAAGTTTTTAATCGCTTCTATGCTATATTTTTTATTTTATCGAGTGTATTAAATAACACTTCTATACAAACTCTTTTTAAATCAGAGATTTCAATTATATATTTTTCTTATAAAAACAAGACTACTTGTAAAGTACTTAACAATTATTATTATGTTTTGACACTGTTCCTTTTATATGGATAATTTTTCAAACATTTATGTGTATTAATTACTACATATAAGTATTTGAATTTTTATCTTCGAAACATTTGTATAACATTTTTGCTACTAAAGTTTTGACTTTTTATTACTAATTAAAGAGCTCAAGGAGTACTAATTAGTATATAAAACAATACTATATATAACATTAATGCAATAACAGTACTAAAAAGTAAATTATAATCAGTTTTGTTTTATAACAAACAGTGTTATGTAAGTTACCGTACAGATTTAATCAGGTAGTTACAATTAGGCAAAATATGTCCAACGTACTATCTTTTTAAAGCTTACTTCAACTTATCTTACGTATGCTTCTTCTTACTTAAAATGTCATGTTAATTTAAATAAATTTACTGACTATTACATAACTGAAAACAATGAAAAAGTGACAAAATATTTTTTTTTTGCATAATACCTTTTCTAACACAATATACTTTTAAGTCATATCTCTCGTCATTCATGTGTTCATGTCTTATGTACGTAATCGCACTAGTAGTCATGCGTGTCGTAAATTCGCGGTTATGCAATGGAAATGTGGCCGGCAAATCATCACTGGAATTTAGTTTCACTACAAAATATGCGTGATCATAGTCTAACAAAATTTTTATATAACCGGAATTTGCTTACACTTTTTATGACGCACGCTCTTTTAAGTAACGTAATGTTTGTATTAGTTATATTAACATTTCGACGAAATAATATTAATAATTATTGATGGAATATCTGATAAGGACATAGGTACCATCCAATAGAGAGAGTCATGACGCCAACCTATTCTTTAGATGCCGTAATGTTGCTTGCTGGATCAATATGGAGGATAGTTCTGAACACTTGCCTTCTAATTTGAGTTTAACACTATACACCATGATTTCTGTTGTATCGCGTGCTCAATCACAGACGGTAGCTGGATCCGCAGATACCAGTTGACTATAACCTTCAGACTATTAAGCTACACTCGACAAACAATCACATTCTAATATGTCCTAAAATCCCGGAGTACCTTCAAAACCCAGATTTGAAACTGCCTTGAGTATAACTTTCTTATGTAGGTATACCCGCAATAATATCTACCGTCTACAGCTTTTTGCATGACAGTCTAATTGAAAAACATTTCGCTAAGTCTCATTAACTAGTCTGAATGCCCGGATTTCCACTGTCATATTTGGGTAGACGTTATCAAATATCATTTGATTGCTATGGATTTTATGGATTGACTTGGAAAAATTTAGTGGTGGCCATGATTTACTAAAAATCAATTTAATCGGCCTGGAGTTCAATCTTGGTCAGCCCTTAGTCTTTTATATTACACACTTTGGAGATTGTACATAGTAATTACTGTGTTTAATTCCTTCATCCCCTTTTACTGTCTGAATCAGTATCACGTAATGAAGCGATAATGAAATGCACTATCTCACCATTCACCATGTAAGACTTCTGATTTGAGTTCTTCTAAGAGATAGAATGGTAGTCAATCATTATCTTGTCATTATAAAAAAAAATGATGGTGAAAGATGTATTGTATAAATCTAAAAGAAAACATGTTTTTAAGGCGACAAAAATATATCATAATAAATATTTAAAAAGAAATTACAATTGAAGACTAATAAAAACATACATTTATTTAACTGAAAAATTACAACATTTACATATTAGAAACAAAAATGTCACCATTATTATGTCAAAAATGAGTTTTGTGGTATTGTTTACTTATTGGTACTAAAAAATAGAACGAATTTTGCAATACACTGTATACTACAATACAATACACTGACAAAAATCAAAACGTAGATATATTACTAAAATTTCATCTTTATTTGGAAATGGAAGCAGTTTTTTTTACTTAACATGAAAGATCTTATTAAGTATAAAATTTTGTTAGAAAAAATACATAGAATGTAATAAAATCTTACTAGTAAACATTTGTAAAAAAACCTTTTAGTTTGGCTGCACTCAAGTAGAAACAAAAGCTTGTAAATTTTCTGATTCAATGAATAAATTATTAAAAATTATTAAAAATTATTTAATTCATTCTTTTGAGGAAAAAAATGACTAAAGTAAAATAATAAATACATGTTGTAAATATTTTTTTTGAAAATATTGGAAAAAATGTTAAGGCCATGTCTTGTTCTGTCATATAAACTTCTAGGTCTTTTGACCTGTAGTTAGATTTTAGTTTTTTTGAACAAATCTATGCCGTCAATCGCATTTTAAATAAGCAAATAAAATCTGATATATCTTCAAAATTTTTAATAATCTTTTACAATATAAAATACGCATGTCTTGTATCATATATGGTAGATAAAACTATGTAACATAAATACAATGCTTTACACGATATCAAAATTATTACTTCGAACAAAAACTGGCCCTTGACGTAGACAGACTAACTATCACTCTTGAATAAAAAATATATACTTAAAATAAAGAAACTATACTTGTTTCACAGAACATATCTTTATATATATAATTCTTCTGTGAGTGTGTATGTCACTGAACTTCTCTCAAACGACTGGACCGATTTTGATGAAATTTTTTGTGTGTGTTCAAGGGGATCTGGGAATTGTTTAGATTCACAATTTTGTCCGCTGGACAATTTTTTTTTAATTAATTTTTAATTTATTAGTAGTTGTTGATACAAACGTTTTTTTTGACATTAGATTTGACAACTAACTAATATGTCAATCATTCTGTCGCACTTCAAAACACGGAAATTTATGGCTTTAATAGGTAAACTCTAAAAGTATAAATAAAAAAACGTAATAGATATTTCTTGATTATAGGGCGATACGAAGTTCGCCGGATCTTCTAGTTATTTGTATAAAATGTTACGTATATATTGCCTTACTAAGTTTTAGTATTAAAATTTACATTTCAAAATATAAGTAAAAAGCCAGATGCTCTTATTTTCTAAAATGTTTATATTAAAAATATTCGAACTTCAATTGTCATTACTTAAAAAAATTAATTTAATCGTCATTACTTAAAAAAAATACCGACTCATGAATGTGTACATTTATATTAGTAGTGACCTTATATATGTAGAATCTTCTTTACCATTTTTTCTTAAACATATCATGGATGGATCATAAAAAGACTTGTAAATACTGCAACTTAAGTACACTTATCGTTTCAGAAAACAAATGAATATTATTCTGTAAAATTACTTATATATTCCACCTTTATTCTTTAACCTACTTTTGCTTATGAGTAAAAAATATCATCAATACGTATTATAAAATGAAGTCCCTCTCCGCGTCTGTCTGTCTGTCTTTCGTGATAAATGGAAAAATTACTTCACCAATTATCTGACAGTTTTCACTAATGAATAGGGTGATTCTTGATAAAGGTTTTAGTATATAATTTGTTAAGTTTTTGTATTTATTTGAGATTGCATTATTTATTGAAGATGTCGGAAATGTATACTATAATTTGATGAAGATGTCAAAAAAAAAAGAGCCGTCTGGGACCTTTTAACTAAAATACTGTGTAAACCCTTTCAGATATAAAAAAATAATGTATTATGGAATTGTGTACCTTATATAGGTCTGCTGAAAAGTCCGTAGTGGCATATACCTATCTCTTAAGAATACTACATATCCATTTTACAACTTTTAAAAATAGGAATTCCTAAAGTGTTTACTGGAAAGCTATTTACATAAATACGGTATTAATTCTCACCAAAATAATATACATACATTGTGTTCAAGTCATTTATATAATTTGGACGAACCTACCATTTGAAAGTTATCACAAGATAAGTTTAATAATTCTCATAATTAAATCCGCGCGAGAACTCACTTTTTCACTTTTTTTTTCAATTAATGTTGTACCTATATAAAAAAAATTATGATTTTTTTTTATGTAAAAGGTGGCAAACGAGCAGACGACCCACTTGATGGTCAGTAGTGGCCGTCGTCCATGGACATCCGTAACATATATGTTGCGGATGTGTTGCCAACCTTACTTGTGGAGGAAAAGGGAGGGGTAGGAATGAGGAAATACAAGGAAAGGTTGGGAACAGGGAAAGGGCAACCGGCACTCTCACTCACCGGACGAAACGCAGTCATTACTGACTACTTCACGCAGATCTTCTGTGAGAGGGTGATACTTCCCCGGTCGAGCCAGCCCATTTTTGAGCTATAGTATCTAAACTACAGCTAGGCTCTACCACCTAAGGATTTTTATTATATAAAAAAATTATTAACACAAAACTATAATTTTTGTTAGTTAAAACTTAAAATATGGTTAACGAAGAATTATGAAACTTTTCTTTATCTTGATTTAACTCAAAAAGTAAGTACTCAACGTATTTTACGCAACATAGGCATTTTATATTTTTAGTAAAGAACCCGTGCGAAGCTAGGGCGGGTATCTAGTTAAATATAATGTACATAAATGGAAATAATTATAAAGTATTTTAGAAGATCTAAGGAAAGTTTTTTAAAAGTAATAATAATAATAATCATTGTAAAAAGATTTATTTTTCTATTCTTTAAACATACACTTACTGGTTGGCTACTCGCAATAAGTAGATACGAATTATTTTACAATAACTTGAGTGTATATATGAGTGTATACGCATACTAAGGGTATAATTACTGAATATTACAAACAATACAAATGATAGAATAATAATTGTAGTATGTAATGTGTAGTCATGAATTACGTGATATTTGAAGTGGTTCAAGATATACTTAGGTCAGTTTAATTATTAAATTATATATTAATGGAGATTTTAATTATCTCTAGATTTAGGACTTGTGGTATAGTTTAAGTCCCTACAATGTTATTGTTTAAATATTTTGATTCAAAACATACCTACTGATTTATTGATGAGCATCCCAAAAGAAAGGGATTCCTTTTTTAGTCAGCGTAAAAAAATTATTAGTTTATCAAATTAAATTGCTAATAGCAACTTAATTGTTTACAAATTCATCAATAATAAATTACTTATATAAATATTTGTGATTTCATTTATTTATTTATAGCTATAAATATTAATATGCTCCACTAATAAATAAATATAATCAATTCTAAATTAAAAACTACTAAAGACTGTAAATAAACATACAAATTGGTAATATTGTTTACGACTATTATTATAACCGTATAAAGTACATTTAATTGATTTTATTACAAACAGACAATTCACATTTATTTATGGTCAAAACTAGTTTTGGTCTAGGAGAAAGTTGGCATAAGTGCAAGACTCCACTCCCTTGTAAATTGCATAAGCATTACATTAATTAAGCATTGTATGTGTTAGGTAATGATGCGTGATAAATTACCTATTAGTATTTTTAATGTACCTTCCTAGAAGTCTTGTTTATTAAGACGTTTACATTTTTATTAATATGATATTCAAGATTTAGTGTGATATTTTATTAACATGTTATTACGATATTTGCTCAAATATTTAAATATTTTTTTAGAACAACTTTCACAGATACTCACTCGTCAAGAAACAACGATGAAGATGTTGACACGGAACCCACAAAAATACTTTGAATCTTTAATGAATATTATTAAATGTTTTATAAAATAACATTATATAAGGACACACACTACACCTATTCACGGAAAGGCGGTATCCGACTGAAGAAAATATTACTATCTAACTTACCTGGTAGGGGTTATTACCTAACCTTAGGCAGTGAACAGAAAATTATGTGCAATGTTTCTGAGAAAACAATGAATATAAAGAGAAAATAACAAAGTCTTTGTATATATCAAAGCTTCATTAAAATAACTGAGAAAAACTAATGACATTTAAAAGTCATAATTTCATTCAAGGAAAGAAGGATCCTGAATTAATGCGTGATTGAAAACATTGTATGTGTTAAAATTGTTAGAAATAAATAAAAAAGACTGTTTTGTATACCAATACTAATTTTATCTCAATCTATCTAAAACATATCATACTTATTTTTTATTTTAATATCGGAATAACTCATTATTATTATTTTTATTTCTTCAGGTTTCGTTACGAAGTGTACATAATTAATAGTTTGATCTTTGAAGTTAATAAATCATATCACTGTTAATTTGTAATATTATCTTACTCGTGCCACCATCCGCTTAAATTTATATCTACGTCGAAATAAAACAATTTAATAAAATAAAAAGATAAGATGAGAGTAATTAATGAAACTAGTATATTTTATTTTAAACTAGAAGACCTGGCGCACTTCGTATCGCCCTATAATCAAGAAATATCTACTACGTTTTTTTATTTATATTTTTGGAGTTTACCTGTAAGCCATAAATCTCCGTGTTTTGAAGTGCGACAGAATGATTGACATATTAGTTAGTTGTCAAATCTAATGTCAAAAAAACGTTTGTATGGGAAATAGAAAAGGGCTGTTTTTATGGTTTTCCCAGTAATGAATCAATTTTTTTCAGCTTTTATACCTTCCCTGAACCTCCACGAACATTTCAAGACTAAGATAAGTTAAATCCGTTCAGCTGTTCTCGAGTTTTAGCGAGACTAAGGAACAGCAATCCATTTTTATATATATAGAAGATGCCTCAAATCCCGACATCTAGCGGAATTAATAAGTAAGCTTACAAATTGAGGTATCTGGCAAAACGGAAATTTGTCTGGATAGCGCATGTGTAAATTTAATTCTACAATCTTTGTTTAGATGGCGCGGTAAATAAAACGTAATTTATTTATAGTGACTAAGTAATATATTGATTACTAAAGGATTTTTATAATATTTACAGAGATAGAAAGAATTGATAAATGAAATATCTTTCCAATTATGAAAAATTTTACATAATTCTTCAATTTATCATAACTCTTTCTTAAATAAAAAAGACATATTTTTTCGTGTAAATAATGAGACGCTTCATCACCATATGTAGTACTTATTTTACATGACATTAATAAACTTCAAGGTACCGGTGAAGAGAAAGTTGTCCACCTCCTGAGCTTAACAAGCCCACACATCTCATATTACAGCGTAACTTCGGCCCATTGAAGTTCATAGTTGTACAGACACGTGGACCACAAAACCGCGCACATAAAACAGATTAAGAAAATAGCTAGAGCTAACAGATTAGATAGACCAATAAAAGTGTCAATAAAGTGTTTCGAGTGCCTATCTTCTTGTGTATGAGTGGAAAATGGAAAGTCTATTAAACTAATCGAATATCAACGTAAAGCAAGTTTTTGTATGTGGGTTATGTTCACTAGTGCTTATCATATACATCACCTGACTGCTCCCGGCCTTGATATACGATATGGTAATTCGATAGTTAAGAGTTGGACTTGAGCAAAGTGAAGTTATAACTAAGATTTCCATGTACAGTTACCGACTTTACACTCAAAGTTAAACACGTCTTTAAGTTCTGGGATGCCTAAAAAAGAACAAACGTCAGCACCGGGTGGTAATGGAAGAAGTTTGATTGCTACTAGAACAAATCAGCAACAGCAACGTAAAATGCAGGGACCTCGAAGTCATCTACCAAGAAGCTATTCTTCACCAGCTACGGCGAAAGATGAAAGTCCCGAAAATGCGTCCAAAGCTTTTGTATTGCGGAGTTTTTCTTCCCCCGAACCCAATAAAACTGATAAAGAAAGTCAAAGAAGTGCCGAATCTCTTTCTAGAACAAATCCAAATGAATCTCAAAGTGAATTGGACATCGATTTAGATAATTTTGAACAATTTGAGGAAGGCTTAAAAGATATAGATGCTGAAAATTGTGATTTTTATAATCGATATCGTAATAACCCTGAGATTGAGCAGCCGAAACGTATCCTGACTACAATGCTTCCAGGCAGTGGTCTACAGAAAGTCGCATTGAGACCAGTTACAAATGAAATTGGGACGGTATCAGCAATGAAGCAGCCGAAGAAAGAAAACAAAAGTAAGTATCAATATACCAATTTTTATTTTAAACTCCGCTTTTACTCGGAACTATTTGCAAGAATCTAGGTGAAGGTAATATAACGTCACATTGTTCGTGAAACCTACGCAAATACAATTATAATACTAGCAGCAATAGATTGGTATTTACGTTAAGGTCATGGATATAGAATTAAAGGTTCTCTAATAACAATACTATATACGAATTGTAGATAAAAAATTAAAAATATCTTTTGTCAGATCATATGACAGTTATTTTGACAGGTTACCCGTCACAATGTAAGCTACAGAACTCCTGTTGCTAACTATCAGTGAAATTATGTAAATAATGTTTAGAATTTAATTTACTATATATATACAAGAAGATTATTTACATATTTAAAAATTAATTACAGGACTATCCCGCCTGAGTTTCCGCCCTCTCATCATAAAGATGCCAAGTCAGATTACAGCTCAGCCCGAGTGCGAATCTATTCCTGGATTGGAGGAATTGCAAACCTCCCCGCAGTTTGATATAGAAACAGATGTACTGGATCACGAATTCGATAATGCTGAGGAACACTTGAAAAGGGAGATAGCAATAGCTGCTGCTGAAACTGACGTTGATATGGTATGACAATTATCTTTATTATCCACCTACTTAATAATAACTTTCTTTAGATGTAATTCTACCAAAAACGAGTACAATATATTGTTAATATTCTTTAATATCTGTTCATTAGTTTTAAGCATCGTGCATATGTTATTTGTCTTAGAATTGTCATTTTCGATGAAGACTACGTATTCTGCTTGTCAAAATTTCTGCGATAACAATCCATTCACCATAAAGTTGTAAACTAAAAACCTAATTTCACAACATTCAATAACAATAAGAGCCATACATGATACAACTTTGTATAAACAGTCATGTGTTAACGACTAAACATTCACTTTTAAACATAAATTACTAATATTATACTCTCTCGTATTATTTTACAACTAAGTATTTTATTGTTCTTGACGTTTCAAACTGTCACATCAATCATCAAAGATAGTTGACGTAATGTAATTGAATCCCCTTCAATTGAACACTTCATTTCTTGTACTGTCTGTCTGTCGAAGTTTTTAAAGTAAAATAAACTGTATTGATTATTATTAGATTACGGAAACAATTATTTCTATGAAATTTATTTTGTAGTTTATGTAGTAGTGGTGAATAGCAATGATTGACGACTTACCGATTTCGAAGTATTCTGATAAACAAAACAAACGAAAATATCATTCAGATGACCATTCATTAATTGAAGGATTTTTTTATAACCTTGTTTCATTAAAATGTTCTTTCTAAGGGCTTAATAAATTTAATTAATTCCATGCATACGTCACACTTACCTATACGAAAAATACCATAATTCAGTTTTTATATCCAACTCTTTCAATAAAATTTGAAGCAAAATTTGTATAAAAATTCAAAACATTCATATTTTTAATATGTAAAATGCAAATATAGTTCGAAATATTTTCATAAACCACGAAGTTATGTGAAACTATCAATAAAAAAAAATAGTTAAATTGAGAACCTTCTTTGCTTCCAGTATTTACAGTCATTTTAGGATGTTGTAACATTGTCATCTTCCAACAGTTTTTGTTTAAATTTTAACTCTTAATTGATAATCAGAATAGCTAATTATAAAATCGTATATTTCACTTTCATATCATTACAAAATTTGACCAAAAACAAACATACGTAACACTTGTAACACTAAAATATTTCTCGTATCTCAATATTTTCTTAAAAGGATACTTTGGTGAGCTAAAATAAACCAAAAATAGAATTAAATAAAATTAAATGCACATTTCAGCGTCGGTCGAGACCGGAGTTTTGTTTATGACGACCATAACACAAGATTAGATCAACCGTGTTACACACCGGTGTTTAATACGACTTCAATTAATCATGATCAAAATATAATAAAACTGAATTTAAATTTACTGTGTAAATAAAAATAACTTTGATAACATTATGAGAATTATTAAATAATTTCAAATTGTTTAAGATTTAGATTAATTTCTTTCTAAATGAGTATATGAAATGTTTGATATATGGAAAAGTTTATGTTCTTATCGGTGTGTAGGGCGGTATTGGTTGCACGTTAAAAGCTCTTGTGTCCCAGTTAACGTTACATCAAAGCTTGCGACACACAGCGGCCCGAATTTAACATAACTAACATATAATATATATTTAGAGAGACGCTTTGATTTATTCGGTGTTAAAAGTTCTATTCTATTATTGTAAAAGAACAGATATAATATGTAGAATAGAATGTTTCTTTGTTGATAAGTAACCATTCAATTAAGAGTAAAATAACCTTCTTGGTTACACATTAATTGTCAATAACTTTAATGTTGATCCAACTCCAAGGTCCAAAACTATAATACAGTTTTGTCCTTGTGGTTTTTAAATTCATTTATTATTATACACGATCAATGATAACTTAATCAATCATAGCTTAATATTATGAACTGTCAAATATTTAACAAATAAATAAAATATTATATTTAAGAGAAAAACTATTGTCTTTACAATTGGCTTCAATTCTGTGTTTTTATCAACGCCATGAATATTTATATTTTGGCATTGAAATCTATTTTTAGATTTCTATGCCATCGGAAAATTTTTAAAACAATATAATTATAGACAATAATATGTTTTTCAATGCTTATTGTGATGTTGTTTTTAATATTTTACAAATGTATTTGTTATCGCAGAATAAATTTACTACGTGTTGCATTTAATCTCACAACAACACGTGCTCACACTATAAAACCTCACGACGCTCAGCTATAAGTGACGTAATCCTAATCCGAAACAAAACAGTGTTTATAAGAATACATTATTTGTATTCCTAATTCTGCTACTGCCAAATACGCAGTTCGTCGGTCCGTCTCGTAACGGTGCTCGTTAGTGTTGTGCCATCGGTTGGATAGCTGCGTGTAGTTTTTTACGGTTTAATTAAATAAACGGAAACCGCTAATATCGCGTCGCCATTGGTTACAAGTACGTTCCCGTGGCAGCAGAACGTAAACATCGCGTGATCGATAACAGTGTTAGCGGGGACATTAGTTGCAGTGACGCCATTGAGTGCGTCCACAGTGTTGGACTTCCGTACGTATCGACACTCGTACACGACTGACCAGAAGGTGTGATGAGTGCGCCTTGACCTTGCGGTGAGGGGGCTGAGGCGGGTGATGACGTCAGCGCGGCCGACACGCTTTTCGGCTTTCGGGTGCGATCCTTCGCGGACGGCATCCGTATAATCGGCGGTCATCGCGTTTCCAAAGTTTGCGTCAAAAATACCGGAGCGGGTGGGCGCCACGAAGCGGGCTCTGCGCAAGAGGACCGTGCACTCATTCCGCGAGCCGGCGCCGACGCCGACGCGCCTCGAACGACCGACCGACCGACATCTAGACATGCTCGGACACCGACATGGGTAATGTGCAGTGCTGCTCTAGCGATCTCCAAGAGGGGAAACAGAATAAGAAACAGAAGAACAAGAAGAAGACTAAAAAGAAGCAGAAGAAGAATAGCGGGAACATCAACGGGCTTGGTGGTGCTAAATTAGACATTAATTGTGGTGAGAAAGTAGCAACGGTGGCGGAAGATACTGAACGCGCAGCGCCTAAGGAGGCGCAAGCGCAGAATATGCATCCTGACATCAAACCTGTGGATAAATCGCAGGAGTCACTAAATGTGACACAGCCCAGCGATACCAATTCCAACAAGAGCGAGCCTTCGCAGAATGAATCCATGGCAGCGGCGAGGGAGCGCTTCTTCAATCAGGTACAAATATATGTGTATAACATAAGTCTCATTCAAAACTAATAGAAACAAGAACCGACCGCTCACCGGAACGACCTAATCCTCTTATCGCTCGTTCTCGCAGGGAGCGCTGCTTCACATCATTTAATATTATGCACGATAACGTCTGTTTAATTATATTTATTTTCTTTGCCTTATCTCGAGTGCCGCGGCCGGCGTAAATAAAACAGACGTGTACCAAAATAACGAAGTTAAACACGAATAAATAATCGAATATATTCTAATTACGTCTAATGTAGTATAAATTTATGCTATTACAAATACGCAAATTAGGTTGACTGCTGTTAATTTGTGATATATTGTGAATGACTTCGTACGTGACAATCTGTCGATAGCTAGTTTATAACAGGTAAAATATATAGTTGTGCTAGTGGAAAGGACAAATCTATGTAACCAATGTTGTGCTATCACTTGTTTTGTTACCAAAAGCATTATATTAAAAGCTTAAATACTGGTTTTCCGTGATGATCTAATGTGCATTGATTAACAGTCAAGGATACTACTACGACCTCTGTGAGTATCTTGTAGTTAAGTTTATCTACTACTTAAGCGTTTGTTGATATTCGATAACAGCGTTGATTGCTTGATTTAATTAAGTATTAAAAAGAGTTTAAATTGGAGAATTTTGTTAAACATTTTCGTGTATATCTTCATGACTTAAAATAAATATCGTTATAAATTATAATATCATTATATAATGACGATTAGTAATATATATATTTAATAATTGTTTGGTATTAAATATATATTTATACTATATTATTTAATCTAACCACATCATTCGTTTTTCAAATCACTAATATTTCAAGTTTTTAATAGTAATAATTTCAAGTTATATTTAATAGTTCTAAAAGTAAAATTCTAGGAATTAACTTTTAATAAAACCGCGCAACGGGTATAGAGTAGTAAACTTTTGAAATACGACAAGTTTGCGTGTGTTCTAAAAAGATAAGAAGTAAAGTTCAGAACTTAGTCGGACAAGTATTAAATAAGAAAGTTTTTAACGTTGTTTTGAAGAATGCTTTTTACTGTTTTTGTTCTTATTTTTAACCGTAAAAGTATTAAAAGCCATTTCGCTAAGTTCATATTAAAAGTTTATAAGAAAAAGCATGAGAAAGGAAAAGTTTAAAGTACAACTACATAGTTTTTTATGGTTCATTATGGTTATCATAAAATCTTTATGTATAAAGTTCTTCCTAAAAAGGATCTCACTGTTCTAAAGGAAATACTAAATTTAAGAATTAAGACGAATTACCAGTTAACTCACTCACCAGACCTATCCAGTGTATGTTAATTTTGTTTCTTCAAATCTAAAAATTTCTTCATTCTATATGTTTACCTATATAAGTTATCTATTAAAATATGGTAAAAACTGAGTTACCACACAAAAAGTCTTACTTCAATATCCAGTCTTACTATTTGTTTTTTACTTAATAAAATACTTATATACAAAAGACGTTTATGAGGAAAATCATAATTGAGGCAATATTCAAATTTTGAGGCCCACAACAAAATGTAGTATAATTAGTTTTAGAAGTGAATTACTAAATATGTATTGAAATAAGCCTCACTACAATCAGATAAAAAGTGTGAAGTTTTTATGGCATTATCTTGAAAGTAGATGGCCTAAATGGAACTTTGCCTCACGGATATACTAAGTGTTATTTTATAAAACTTTCATCTTCCATGCCCGTGTCCACAGAAGCTATTAAGTAACCGAAAAGTCAGATTAAATATAATATATGAATAAATCGCAGAGGAGATTCAAAAAAATATAATCAAAAATCATTTGATTGACCTATAATTAAAAAATTAGATATCTTAATTAGTGATACTCATTTTGTTATCTACATATAATTTTAATTAAACTAATGAACAAACTTAACATGTCTTGACATTATGTGGACGAAATAATTTGGCAAATTATTAAAAAAAATGTGGTCTTATATGTAAATTTAAAGGTAAAGTTTATTTTTAGAATCTCAATATTATTTGTACTTCTATAGTGTGATTGAAATTATTGGTTTTCTGCAGTCCAAAGTCACTTTGGCAAAACTTTGGTATCTCAGTTTTTAATAGACGATATACTAATTATTTTATTTAAAATAATTAATATTGTTTGTTCAATACTATAGTAAACAATGGATAATTTTAAATCATTATGGTATATAATACATAAGTTTAAAGTAAATATACTTAAACTTGTTTAAACAAACATACTTATTTGTCGTGATCGATCTATGTTTGTGAATGATATGAGATGACGCGTTTAAGAAATTATTATGTTAAGACGAAAATAAATTTACTTCCATAAATATTGTTACGTATAATCAAAGAGTATCTTAATCTTATTTTTAAGTAAAATAATTTCATCTGCAATGGATGTCGTAAAGAGCTCAATTGGGTTAATCTGCGTTAGTGCTGCCTACATTAACCGTAACTGATTCTATAATCTTAATTAATAATTATTCCTTGAAATTAGTTTATTTATATAATTCGGGAAAAGTGAAACGTTTTTACGCTCGATGCTCACCGTCAACTCATTTCTTGGCATCAATTGGTACCCACGCTAAGCGACGTTTCCCACGAAATAATTTCATTTAACATTACAGTGATTTATATTTAAAAATAGTCTTTGATTCTTGACATTCGGTTTACTCATGTGCCGTTGAGTCAGCGAAAAGTGACCGATTCTTATAAGAGTCGTTTTTGGATCGGTTCCAGCTCGTTCCAGAAATAGACTTGTTCCGATTTAGTTTGCGGTGTACGGGAGGGAGTGTTACGATTTCGAGATGCGTCCCATTGACACCGATAACGGTACATTCGGCTTCCATTTAATGCAATTAAACGCCACCTTAATTGATTAATTGAATTAGAGAAATTTATTAATCGAAGATAGTACCTACAGCTAGCTCTTTATGTTTTGCAAGCTTATTTTCTAGTGTCTAGTAATTTATTTGAATTTTAATTTAGTTCTCCAATGTTTTTGTTTTACTTCTTTTATTTTAGGTTCTTCTTTGTTCATATTAATATAAAAGCAATCGGTAAACAGAAATAAACCATTTTTATGGTGAAATTAAGCGTAAGAGAATGAAAAGTTTAGCTTGTCGTTATGTTTGTTCACATAAATAATCAATGTTAGGGCTATTTAAAGTCCAATTGGAAAATTTATTACCACATTGAAATGTTACACAAACATTCTGGTTGAATGTGTATTGTGGGAAATAAAACAAATATATACTCACAAATAGGTATACACACACACACACACACACACATACATAGAAAAACACACACACACGTTAAGACACGCTAGAAAATACTTTTACATATTACACTAGTATAATATAAACATTATATAAAGACTTGGCGATGTTTCAAACACAATATATCAGCAATGAAAATACACATAAAAAGTTATAGTAATTGAATGTTTTATATTGATAAGAGCCATTACTATCACTTCATTATTATTAATTCCCGCCATATTTCTGCTGCATATTAATATACATATATTACATAATACATAAACATTTTGTGATCATATATCCTTATGACGAGTTGACATTAACTAAACACAGAGAACTTTCATTTTTGTTTATACACCTACGTTTACGTCGTTAGTTCGTTACTATCATGTGCGATTATTTGTGAATGAAAAACTATAAAATAACAGTTTTACTTTAACGACTCACACCGTTGTAAGGGTGATGTGTAAAGTATATAATAATAGTATATAATACCTCCTAAAGTATCTCAAAGCCATTGCGTCTTTATTGCTAAAAAACTTATCGATTACTAGTAATTTATTTCTTACTGACATTTAATAATAAATCCTAAGTACGTGTTAGCATTGTCAATCAAAACAGAATAGAATCTGAAACTATTAATACAAACGTGTATTACTTCAAGAGGTGCTTCAATGCGAGGACTATGCACTTTCGTAATAAACCACAGCAGAATAGCCTTGCGGGCCCTGTGGCTTAGCAGAAGAGCGGCGCGTGGGATACCCGTGGGGTTTTAATACGTAGTGCGTCCTTTTCAGGGCGAGAGTCCAACATAACTCTCCTTGTTTTCTTCCCTAAGTAAGAGAGTATACATTAAGCATTTCCCCACGATAAAAAAGGCACTTTCGTAAATAATACCTTACCGTAACAATATTACTGCTTGCAGTAGCGCTTATAGGCAAAACAAAAAAAGCTTTTACAGTTTTGTATGAACAAAGGTACTTCAAATGTAATTATTATAGAAAAGGTGAATTTATGTATTTTTAATACCTTTAAACTTTTCACTGCTCTCACTCATAATTGGACAACTTCGATTATGAAATTATCGCAGAAGATCAATTATAAATGAGTCTATTAAAACATTGATAATCTACTTATCTTAATAACATAATAAGTAAGTCAAATGGTTTTGTATCTGACCTACATATCGCCTAACGGTTGATAGACAACTCATATTTAATTATTTCAAGTTCAATGACACTATAAATGTCAGTATGTTTGACATTTAGTGACAAAGCGCATATTGAGGACTCAGACAGTCAATCAATCAGTCAGTCAAAGTCATGGTAGTTAAATGCTTTAGGCCTCGGCCTCGAATATTGCGGGCAGCGGAGCGGCGGCGGCGGCACGGGCAACGCATACCTGTTTTCCAAACTAGCGGGCAGCGGGCACCGCTGTATTCGAGGGTCGGTCCATTTGGTTATACGCGTAAGATCCTGCCGCTACCGCCGCCGCTCCGCTGCCAGCAAAATTCGAGGCAGAGGCCTTAGTATTAGTAGTAGTAGTGTAGTTTGTGCTTAAATCTTAGTTCAAATAATGTAGAACATTTCAAAATACATTTTATAAAACCAAATTACTTTGTGCTCTTTTTCTCGATATTTATTTTGATCGTGTTAAATTTAAATTCCATGCGGTCGAATAATTATTTTTTAAATAATGAGATCTAAGACATTCGCGAGTGCTCATTTAAATGAAACTAATATTTTTATAAATGAA